AAAAAAAAAAAAAAAATCTACCCAAAACTACAGTCAACCTGTTTGTGATGGTGAAATATTAGAAGCACTTTCTTAAAACCAGGAAAAAATAAGGATTTCCATGACCCACCCTTGACCTCAGCACTGCGCTGTCCTAAGCTGAGCAGCGAGCGAGACGCAGAAGTGTGGCGATTAGAGAGGACGCCAGACGCGTGGTTCCCGGGTGGGACTGTCTGCCATGAACAGAGACCCTCCGATAGAAGTTCATCAACAAGAGACACAGCAAGGTTTCTAGATAAGCAACATTTTTTAAGGTTTTGGGGTTTTTTTACATATACAATACACAGCAGGCGTCATATTTTTAAAGAGAAGAAACACTGTGTATAAGAGCAAGGAAAGCTATCAGGTGAATCTGCATCAATGTAGCAAAGCCTCTGGAGGTTTCTATGAAGAAAGTGATACAGTTTCCGAAGCCAGTGCGAAGAGCCGGGATGGAGGCAGGTCACCCGCAGGGAGGGGCAGGCCCAGCGGCAGGCACAGGGCAAGGCTCAGACATATCGGGACTTGATAAAGCTGCGCCACATGTTCTCCCCAGACCCAGGGTGGCCCAGGGAGCGGTGAGGGCAAACCCGGGGGACCGGTCCCCTCCAACCTGGAGACGCAGGTGAGAGGCTGAGCATGGAGGGGCTGACGTCGGGGGACAGAGGCCAGAGACGGTGCTTCCAAATATTGACAGGATTTTACAGTCCTCCGTAAGCACAGAGGCAAACAAGCTAATAGAGGAATGAACGGAAATTTCCTTGCCAGAGAGGAAGCTGGAGTAGCCTCGTAACAGACTCAAAGTTGCTCAACTTCATTGGTAATAGATGCAAATTAAGGTGACAAGGAAACACTGTGGATGGAGGAGAAAGTCTGTCCCAGCGGAGTGTGGGCACGAGCGTGGGGACTCCCCGCCCCGCCTGCTACACGGTCCCACGGACATCCTGCCCCCCGACCAGGACTGTGTTTAACAGTAAATGAGCAGCAGTAGGACAGACGGGCCCGAGGTGTTCACTGTGCGGGACCCACGCGGCAGGGGGCAGGCGTGAACTGCAACCCCCTGGACGGGCGGGTGCCCAGGGCCTGCCCCGCGTTCTTTTTTGAGAGAAAAGGCAAATTGCAGAAAATGACACAGAAACGGTGCAATTTAGGCTTAAACACCTTGAGTTTGTATTATGTTCAGAAACGTGAAAATCAGCGACCCAGGGCTTTGTGTCAACTCAGAACTGGGCCCGATAAACCTAGCAGTCGCCGGGCGCCCTCTGGGGGCGGCGAGGGGAGGGACACCCGGGTTCCGGCGTGCGCAGGTTTTGTTCAGAAGCAGCCTGGTGGGCGTAGTATTATTTATACCTTTTAAGACATAGTTTTAACACTGAATGATGTTTTTAAATTAAGAAAAAGCAGCCCAGAGGTCACGCCGGCATCCAGGGAGGGCCGTGTGAACCTCGTGACAAAGGCCGGAGTTCTCCGGGAGGGTGAATGTGTCCACCCCTCGCTCCCCTGTCCCGTCTCCAAGGCCAGGCCCAGAGCTTTCCCAAGGACAGGGAGACCCACAGGGGACCCTCCAGGTGTCCTCATGCAGGGGCCGCGATGCTGCGAGATTCCTGCGCACACGGCAGCAGGCGTGACCGCCCCTCCACAGGCCTGAGAGGGCCACACGGCTCACGGCACAGCCCCACCCTGAGGCTCGCAGCCCCCTTCCCTTCCCCAAAGAGCCCAGCCTCCCCGTGTCCTCCCTGGTGCCCCCCTCCCCCCTCATGCTCGCTGCCTTCTCTCGGGGACTCTAACCTTGTGTTTGCCTTCGGGCCTAACCTGCCCTCAGACCCATGTTTCTAGTTCGCCCTTCAGATGCTCTGTTTGCCACAGAATTGCTGTGAGGCGATGTCCACGCTGCCCAAGGACACAGGGGCCGTTACCATAAATCCCTGCCCGTGTGGCAGGTGAGGCCTGAGTTGCCCGGGAGGATGCCCCCCCCATGCGTGCTCCGGGGACAAACGGTGCAGGAGGGTTGAGCTCTGGGGACAGCGTCACAGTCGGGGCATCGCCTGCTCCCCGCGAGCCCTCTGTCTGCCCCACACACACTAGGACACCCGTGGGGGTCGGGCGCTGGGCCTGGAGGGACAGAGGGAGGAAATGACATCCGCTGGGGCGTTGCCCCAGATACCATGTCCCAGCTCTCCAGACACCTATGGGTGTCCCTCACTCAGTTCCCTCCCCGACCCCCTGACCCGGCGCAGTCCCCACGGGGTGAGGGCTCAGACAGGAGCCACAGGTGATGGGTCCCAGGTTACTTGTACTTCTCTGTCCCACTTGGCTATAAAGTCGGGGTTCCCACGGTCCCCCACTCTTTCAGGCTTGATAACTTCCTGGAACAATCCACAGGGCCCAGGAAAGAGCTTTCCTTACCTTTACCAGTTTGTAGAAAGGAGGCAGGTGAACTGCCAAACGGGAGCGATGCCCAGGAGGAGGTACTGGGGGGGCACAGCGTCTCCCCCCGGCTCACCCGCAAGGCCGGCAACCCGGCAGCGTCGGGTAGGGTTTGAGGGAGGTCTCCTCACACACGAGCGTGGCTGGTTGACTCACTGGCCATTGGCGATGGGCTCAATCTCCAGCCCCTCCCTGGAGACTGGGAACGGGGTTCACGGTTGCACCCCTCTAACCGTGACTTGGTTTCCTGGCACCCAGTCCCCACCCTGAAGCGGGGGCCCCAGCCACCTGCCATCTCCTTGGCATACAAAAGATGCCAGGGATGTGGGCCCTGTGGTCCCCGAATGGGAGAGAAACACCGAACATTTATTATTACTTTTGTTTGTTTTCTTATTTGGTTAAGTCTCACTCCAGGATATTTTTTCCACTGATTTTTTTTTAGAGAGAGTGGAAGGAAGGGAAGGGGCCTCGGAGCAGGGGTGCCCAGGCTGGGCCTGGTTTAGGGGAAACAGGCAGGGGGGCACGGAACCCCTGCTGAGACGCCCCCTCTAAGCCCCGTGGTCATCTGTTCTCTAAACCAGGGTGAAGAAGCGGGTGGACCTGACGGGAGCCTTCAAGCTGGACCCCGTGTACCTGCAGCACAGCCACCAGGACTCGGGTGAGTGGCGCCTGCCTGCAGGCCGCAGTCTGTTTCCGTCGGGGCTGCAGAAAGTGACCCGACGGAGACCCATGGGGACCACTCACAGTTCAGCGTTTGTGTGCTCTGGGCGCCTGGGGAGGGGCCACGCAGAACACCCGGGCCCCGAGCTCGCGGGTCTCATGTCTGGGCCGGGAGGGGACTGACTGACCGTGACCGTGAGGAGGGTTAGGCCTGTGATCGCCCGGCGTGTCTGATGGCTTCTCTCTTTCTCCCTCTTTCCCAGGACTAATCACCGACTACAGGGTGAGTGGGAGCTTTGTCTCACGGGCCCGGGGTCGCGGGATCCAGGAGGGAGGCAGGGTGGGGGCTGTCACAGCCGCGACTCGGGCTGCGTCCGGTGTTCCCCTCATGATCAGGGTCCCATAAAGGACACATTCCCACCGGGTCCTCAGGAGCGAATGAGGCCGGCAGTGGGCAGCTCTGCTGACCGCCAACCTCAGGTGTCACGTTAGCAGGAAATGACCATCTCTAGGGGCACAGGGACTTCTGCACCTGGGAGACGGGCACCTCTGTCTCTGTCTCCATCCTGTGCAGTTGCCCTGGGCCCAGAGCCGGCCTCCCGGGCATGGGGAGGCCACAGTCAGAGCATCACCTCGCTCGGGGGCAGCAAGTGCCCCCCCAGCCCGGAGCCCATGGCACCCTGGCTGCTTCTGCAGTGAGCAGGGTCTGCACCCCTGCCTGGACCCCAGGATGCCCAGGGCACCAGAGGTGTGGACAGTCACACACGTGATGACCATCCTGTGCCGCTGTGCCGACAGACCCAGAGCCCGTGCCTCTCCAAGGGCTGTTTCTGGCCTAAGGGCCAGTGTCCTGACTCCTCAGCTGGTCCTCGGACACACCCCTAGGCCATTTCTCTTACTCTACGGAGATGAAGCCCAAGGCGTTACGTGCCCGGAGCTTAGGAGTTGGCCACCTGCTGTTTAGGGGCCCTCGTGCCGGCAGGCGCAGCATCAGGCCGGGCAGCGGCCCTTCTGGTGCCCACCTGGCCTGCAAGGCCTGGCCGCAGCCGCGGGCAGAGCTGGGGGGCGCACAGTGTGCTCAGCAAACGTTCACAGGCGCCGAAGGGACCGGCGAGGGAGCTTTCTGAAGGAGCGAGGGAGCCGGGGAATGATTCCGGAGCAGAGGGAGGGTGTCCTAAAACCCAAGGCGCACAGTCAGGCCTCAGAACAGCATCCCCCTGAGGCAGGAGCGGCCACGGGCGGAGAGACAGGCTTTCTCCATCAGGGAAGAACTTGCTGGGAGACCTGCCACCCCTCCCAGGGCTTAGCCTCCCCGCCCGCGGCCCCGCTGAGCCTGTCCGTTCCGTCCAGCACTGGCAGCTGCCGCTGGGCCGCAGGTTCCGCTCCCTGAAGATGTGGTTTGTCTTCCGGATGTACGGCGTCAAGGGACTGCAGGCCCATATCCGCAAGGTGACTTCTTTCTCTTGGTTACTCTCGGGGTGACCTCACGGCGGTCGGGGGCTCTAGAAATGAAGTCAATGTCACAGTGAGCAAATATGTGATAAGGGCCAGCTCGGGCTGCTGCAATCAGGGTGTTTCTAGGACGGTCAGTGCACGATTACGGATCTTTTAGGACATTTCCCTCAAGACCACAGGCGACTGGGCCGGGAGACTGTCAAAGGGAAACAGCACCGAGCTGGCGCCTTAGCCACGTGTGGCCGACAGCGAGGCGCAGGCAGGGTGGCAGCAGGGAGGACACAGGCTTTTCTCCCAACACCTTCCGGAAAGGGAAAGGTTAGAGGGGGGTGGGGTGAGGTCACCTGGCCCGGTGGGTCTTGGACGTGACCCCCCGGCTCTCTCGGGGGTCTCAGCTGCAAGGGATACTCAAATGTGAGGACCACCCTTCTACTCCAAGTCCCAGCACCTGCTTTTAAACAATTGAGGGAACTGAGGCCTAACTGTGTGCTGGGACTTGCCCAAGGGCCCCCCCCCCCATTGAGCCCCTGTAAAAGGCCTGCTGCTTGCAGTCAGGTTCCCTCCCATCCTGACGTCCTTCCCCAGCCTCGGCCCCATCTGGGTGGACACGGGCCCTCAGCTTTCATGCCAGTTCTGGTGGTTGTGACGTGGCCGCTGTTCACTTGACGTCCTGGTGCGGAGGCTCAGCATCTGTGGGCCGGGCGGGATGCCCCCGGCCCATCCTCGGAGACGGGGCATGCGGACAGGCGTCCGTCTGCTCAGCGCCCGCCAAACATCACACGCTGGCCCCTGCCTGCCCCTCAAGGAGGGTGCGTGTGAGTCCATGGGGAAGACGCCCCTCTCCGTCTGAGGATCCCCATCTCAAACACGAGGACTCGGCTTCTTTGGGGAAAGAACTTGGAAAAATGGTGGCTTGTGTCTCCATAACGAACCCAGCGTTGACTTCAGGGGCAGCTGGGTGGGACTATGCTGCCTTGGGTCGGAAACACCCAGAGGCTCCCTCTGAGGGGGTCCCAGTCCTGCCAGAGAGAGTGGCAGGGCCAAGCCCGTCCCCAGCCGGGCCTGTGGTCCCGAGCCCAGGGGTGGCGGGTGCCCGGCAGGCCCAAGTCTTTGGCGCCCTCTGGTGGCACCAGGTTTCCCATGTGACTGGGAACTGCTCTTCCCAAGGGGGCTTCAGACCCACCCGCCCTCTGAGCCCAAGTACCGCTCAGGTGCCCCGAACCCTCCCAGGGACGGCGCCAGGCTGGGCCCCTGGGTTTAGAACAGGAAGACACCCACCAAGACCACGTTCTCAGATCGGGTGGCGTCTGAATCACGTTTGAGTTCCATGAAGGGAAGTAAGGTGGCATTATCCAGAGAGGAAGGCTGCCGGTGCCGGTGACTAGGGCTGACGCCCTCGGGGCCGCAAAGGCTCTCACATAACAAACAGCCGGGGCCTCCGTAGAGCAGAAACTTTCCCCTCTGGCAGCCGCATTAGGCGGAGCGCAGCCTCAGTCTCCGCATCTGCAGGATGGGTGTGGGGGTGGGACTGCGGGGGCGATGGGCTGTCGTGTGGCTGGCGCAGTGCTGCTCTGGGTGCTGGGCCAGCACAAAGGAGCCTCTCGGCCACTGCTAGCCACCCCTCCTTTCTAGAATGTTCCAACACCGCTCCGCAGCGTTTCCTCTAAAATCGTAAACAATTGTTCTGCTGGGACAGAAACAGAAGAAAAGGGTGGGAGTGTTTTCCTGAAGACACTGCCCTTTTCCCCGTGGTAACTGAGTTTTTTCTAAGCCTGTGTGGGGACAGCTGGCGAGTGGGTGACATAGATCCTTGAAGAAAACAGCTAAAGGCACATCAGTGAGTTATTATAGCTTTTTTGTTAATCTTCACCGGAGGACATTTTTTTCCATTGGTTTTTAGAGAGAGAG